GGGCGCGGGTTCCCCGGCCCCCCCCCCCTCCTGCCGGGCTGCCCCCGAACCGCTTCATCCCCATCCCCGTCACCCTCGTCACCCTCGTCACCCCCCCTCACCTCCCCCATCACCCCCCGTCACCCCGAGGCAGGGCTGCCCAAGGGGCTGAGTAGCCTCCTCCCTTCACCCCTGTGGCCCTCAGTAGGTTTCAGAGTTAACAACCCACCCTTCCCCACCGGCCGCCACCTTAGAGCGAGATTTAAAGACACAGAAAAGGCTCAAAAAGGACAATTTTGGCACTTTGTTGCATTTTTCACCTCGAGGGACCCCTCGGGGCTGCCCCAGATGGGGGGGGGGCACCCCCTCCTGCACCCACCCTGAAAAATCTGTAATTAGACGGAACAGCTTCAATACCTGGTGCGGTCGGTAATTAATTAATCCCAGAGCAGCAGCTGGGCTGGGGGTGCCCGGTGTCCCTGGCTTGCTGCCAGGTGTGTGCAGGGGGTGTGCAAGCATGTGTGAGCTTGGGGAGGTGTGTGCAAGAGCATGCGAGCATGTGTGCAAGTGTGTGTGTGTGTGTGTGCAAGCACACATGTGCATGCATGTGCTGCGTGTGCACATAGTTGCAAGGGCACGCACGTGTGCAAGTACATGCAAGAGTGTGCACAAGCACATGCAAATGCATGCCTGTGTTGCAAGCCTGTGCAATGGCATGCAAGCATGTGAGTGCGCACGCATGCATTTGCATGTGTGCACAAGTGCGCACGTGTGCATGCATGTGCATGAATGCGTGTGTTTGCAAGCTCCCATATGCATGTGTGTGCAAGCATGTGCATGAGTGCACATGTTTGCAAGTACCCATATGCATCTGTGTGCAAGCATGTGGATGGGTGCACATGTCTGCAAGCACCCATATGCATGCAAGCACGTGCATGTGGCTGCAAGTATGTGCATGGGCATGCAAGCATATGCAAACATACGGAAGTGTGTCCCAATAAAACCCAATGGACAGGGACATTGCCCAGGGTGGGCACCCACGGGTGGGTTTCGGAGGCACGGAGCGTAATCCTGCCGAAATCCGGGGGCTCGGCGGCTGTTCTTCACCACCGCCTGGGTTTATTTTTAAACCCGTTGGTCCCGAGTGATTCACACGCTGCCTGTTCTCCTCTGCTCCCCGGCAAGTTTTACGCGACCAAAATAGATGTTCTGGAAGGAACGGGCCATGCAGCGAGGCCGCAGCAGGGGAAAGCGGGGTGCTCCCTCCCCGCCGATGGGGATCCCCGCCTTTGCAAGGGTGAAAACATTGCCAAGCCTCCCCTGAGATGGTGTTTTTGGGGAGATGCTGATGCGGATCCCCCGGGAAGCAGGACCATGGGGTGATATTTAACCCGGATCATAAATGCCAGCCCCGTGGGCGCTGGAGCATCCCAGGCCCTGCAGGCTCCCACACCCAGCCGTGGGAGAAACAGAGCCCAGCAAGCTGGGGGGACAGGCATGGTGAGGGCAGGGAGCTGGGGTGCGATGGTGAAGAGGCCCTCAGCATGCACAGAGCAGCGCCCCGGGGGCAGAGCGCCCTCCCCGGGGCAGAGCATCCTTTCCAGGAGCAGAGCACCCTTTCCAAGGCCAGGTGCCCCCTCGGCCCCAGCCCCACCTGCAGCGGGTGTCCCCACAGCAACAAAAGCACCTGGCAAAGGCACCAATTTACACCATGTTGGGAAAAAAAAGGGGGGAAAACAACTTTTAAAAATGGAAGGCAATAATAACCCCCTCTGTGCCTGCCACCCCCTGGGAGCCCGAAACGCTGCATGCGATCAGCGAGGTATGGTATCTCGGCTGTCCTTCCTGTGGCATTTCTGCAGGAAGAGCCAGGCAGAAGTGGCCGTGCAGAAACACAGTGGACATCCAGGTCTAAAGCATGGGAGGCCACCAGCCTGGACCAGAAAGTAAAGCTTCTGCTCCACAAATACCTGAGGCATTTGTGCTGTAGAGCAATGCTTCCCAAAGCCAACCCCAAAAGATGTCATGGGGACACTGGGTAGCATCAGTGGGGTCAGAGCACAAGGAGATGAACTCACAGGGATGAGAAGCTTCCTATTAGCGTTTGCTTATGCCAGGTCTGGTAGTGAGGCAGGAGCACTAATTACACCAGCCTTTCGGAGCTCTTTAGGACTTGACAGCACATCAAACCCCAGCAAAAGAAAGCAACTATTATTATTTAGGTCTTTTGGGTCACTCAATTTAAGAGAAATAAACATGGCAGGACTGACAGGCGGGCAGATCAGCAATCCTGGCTCCCTCCGCTCAGGCTTAAACACAAGACCAGAACAGTATTTGCAACTAAAACAAAAGAGAGAAGGGGCCCAAGTTTCCCACGCAGACTTGGAGGAAGCAGATGAGCATCCTCCCCCAGGAAACAGGGCACAGGCAGGCAGCCCTTCCCTTCCCACCCTGAGCAGGGGGAAAAAATAGCCCTCTTTCCC